TTACGCTCTCCCGGGTGAATAGAGTGACAATTTGAACGTCTCACTTGAGAGTCCGGCGAGAGCACTTGGGAGGAATCTGAACGCTCTCTGGGTGTCTGGGTGCACCCGGGTGGGGAATCAGAACACAGCCTGTGACATGTATATGTCACCTTACTATAGAAAATAAAAGTTATATATTTCGCATTTTATACAGGGTGTCCCCAATTTAAATGTCAAAACTGTATGAGCGTGTAGGGGACCGATGAACTAAGACAAAAAGTCCTTTAGAGATTTGCTCGTTTTTGCTTCGTTTTGAAGAAAATCGAAAAAATGAAACAAATAATTGTCACCAAAAAACTTAAAACAACACTAAAATTATTAGATTTACTGATTAGGCACGTGCAGATTACAAATCTTTTATATTAAGTAAATATTGACGGCACGGGCCGATAACAAAACTGTAATTTTATAATTTTTTTTCACTTTTCATATGAAATGTTTAACTCCGCACTCCGTTATTATGTATACTTTAATTGTGGAAAAGGATTTTTTGATATCTATAATCAACAAAAAGATTTTGCATAATAACGTTTTTATCGGTAAAACAGACCTTTTGGGATCCCCTTAACTTCAAATTTATTGCCAACATCTTTAAAGTCCCTTATAGCTCTTTCAACTTCGACAGGAACACATTCTAATGCACCATTTTCAAAACAGTCATTTTCATCTTCATTTTTTGTAATTTCTGATATTTTTTTTCAATTAATTCTTTAATATTATTCATACCTTGCTGAATGTCGGTTATTTTTTCCTGATACTGAAGAGCATCTTTCAATTTATATTGTATTAAAGAAAATGCGAAGCGAGGGAGTCCCAAGGACGGAGCGGCGAGCGGACTCTCAACGCGGAGCCTATCCAACCAGATAGGAAAGAGAGCCGATCGGGCGCAGCCGTAAGCCTGCACCTTTAAGCCAAACAGCAGAAAATCTTGGGAACTCCGGGGCGATGAACCCACCAACACGGCCGTGATGACAACAAGGATCGCGAGGACCGCAGGACGGCCCTGCGTAACGCGAAAGCGCCACAATTGGCACGATAGCGATTTATCGCGCCGGCGTGTCTCCTGCAGGACTCTCGCTCGGCACTGTTCGGCGAGATAGCGAGAAGGACGCAGGCCTCTTCGAGCGTATCCAAAATTTCGAGCAAGAAGGAGATCCGAGAACTTCCTGCCGGTGGGACGAGTGTCGCCAGCCAGATTTTGTTGCCGTTTATCAGTAGGTAATTAATTCGGATGAGTCGCGCCCTTAATAGTTGTCGAGCCACGCGTTTTTGTGAATTAACTTGGTGAATCTTTTGTTAGATTGAGTCGCACGGCCGACGGGCACACGCCGCTCATCCGAATTATAGAAATTAAGCTGTCTCTATCTACTTCGCCGCCGCCGACAGTTATTAATGTTAGTTTCGCGTCTGTAATTATTACGTGCTGTAAAATATCGGGATTTTCACGCTCGCGCGATCGATATTCCGGATCGCGCAAAGTATTGCGTCATACGACTAATACACCACAGTCGTCACCAATAGTTTTCGTATTCTTTTTGTGTATTGTTAGCAGTTATTTTGTACACGCTATGCGTAATTAGAGTGAGGAGAAAGCGCAATTCTCCGGTATCGAGCAGAGTATCTATCGGGTGTTTGTGACCCCGTTGTTAGTTTTCGCGAGTCATCCGAGTAAAATACGTGGCGTATTCCAAGCAAAGGTCCTCGCTATTATTATTGAGGCACATTCCAGCACCACGAGCTGTGTTAAAAGACCGATTCGAGTTGTAACACCGGGAAATTGTATTGTACTGAAGCGGATTCACGGGCGTGCGTAAAGTAGTTACCGGCGCATTCGAGAGATTTGTTTAGTTGTCGCGACCTAATTAAGTCGCGTACGGCGGAAATCCTCGCGGCCGAAAAGTCGAGTTAAAGCGCGTAAGACGCCCGGTAATTTGATACTCCGACCACGATCCCACCAAATGCATAACAAGAGTTTTTTTCCATGAATATTTGGCTTAGCTGTAGATGTTGAAGCATGGCCAGGTGGTCCCCATGATTTCTTCCTTTTTGGATTATCATAGTGGATCCATTTTTCATCACCAGTGATTATACGGTGCAGAAAACCCTTTCGTTTATGCCTGGCAAGCAGCATTTCACATGTGAACAATCGGTGTTCAACGTTTCTCGGCGTTAGTTCATATGGAACCCAATTTCCTTGTTTTTGAATCAATGATTTCAACCGATGTGAAATTGCTTGTTGAGTCACTCCCAATGTAAGTGCAAGTTCTTCTTGCGTTTGGCACGAATCTTGATCCAATAATGCTTCCAATTCCGCGTCTTCATACACTTTCGGCCTTCCGCTACGTTCTTTGTCTTCGATGTCAAATTCACCGTTCTCTCTCTTTTGAAACCACTCACGACAACTTCTCTCACTTAAGGCAGTTTCACCATATGCTTCTACAAGCTATCGATACGCCTCAGCTGCAGATTTCTTCAAATTGAAGAATTAAATCAAAAGTTCCCGCAAATGACGCTTATTCGGCTCAAAACTCGACATTTTCGCACACAAAAGAATATATTATACTGATAAAAAATCACTAATATTTTAAGGTTATGTTCTTGACTGATGTCCAATCTTACGACAAGGACGTTTTACATCTGACAATTTTAACCATAACTTACTGGTGGAGCCAACTTTTGTCAAACGGCGGAAACTTATTTGTACACCTAATATTATTAGTTATTTCTAAAATCTTATTACTACTCATACAGCACCGCAAGATTGTAACAACATTGCAGCAACATTTTTTTGCAAGATTGCAACATTGCAGATTACTGTTTGTAAATTTTCTGCTTCATATATAAATAAATCATTTTACTGATATTCTTTTCAAAATTATTTTATTTTAAAAAAACTAAAAGTCTAAACGTAGATAGATACATTGTTACATAGATATACATACTAGGCGTAGATACACTTATATTGTTATATTGGTATACATACTAGACGTAGATAGACTTAAATTGTTATACATACTAGACGTAGAATTACATTGTTATATAGGTATACATACTAGACGTAGATAAACTTATATGATTACTAGACGTACACTTACATCCTATATTTTACAATCAGCATGTATCAAATCTTTCGCTGTTTGCTTCTCGCTGACCAATTGTACATTTCCATCTTCATGATAATGTATTTGTATTTTGAGGCTATCTCTCAATTCGGCGTTTGCTGAATTTGGAGTAAAACTTACGGTCTATATCGAACCAGCAACCGTTCCAGAAGTTTTTAGGTTAAAACTGATGATCTTCTATGCATTAATATTATTTTTTACTTCACTCTATCTGTGTGCAAAGAAAAGAACAGAATTGTAATATTTAATTTAGTTTACATATCTGATTTTATATGTGCTTCTCTATGTTTTATATATGCTACTTAATTGTACTTACTGTCTGTTACTGCCAGATCTCTATAACCCAATATGTTACACTGTTTAGCAAATTTCTACAGCTGGGATTGCATACGGTTTTATACGAAGAAATCCCAGCTAAAAGTATACCAGTCTTCTCAAAAAGATTGATCATGCAAATAAGCGTTATAATTTAGACAATATTCAGATATAATCAAGAAATTATATATACTTATAAAACAATAAATAAACATATATAAGCAGATATATATACGAAATTTTCAATTTACTTACTCGATAGGACCAAATATATTTTCAGCAACAGATTCAAATATAACTTTATAACCTCAACCTTATTATATCTTGACGTCACGATGCTACATAACGTTCGAAGATTACGCGCGCTGTCTTCGAGAAAGAATCGAGACGAGGCGCGAACAATCTTACATAAGATCTAAGTTACACGAGGTGTATACGGTGTTGGAATTGAAAGTTGCGCTCAGCCCGCATGATGATATATTCCTCGACGAGTCGAGGTAATTCGTCTATCCATTTATACGTTCAGCTTAGCGTGAAATATTTCTACATAGAATTTTTGAGTGTGCGATTAAATCGTTCGACGATCGACGCTTTCATCACCGAGTACGTCGAGTAATGATTCACTTCGCACTTCTCCACGAATTTTCTCACTTCAGCGTTATAGAATTCTTTTTCTTTATCGGTCTGCAGATTTTTCGGGCACCGCTTAGAGCCTCGCACTATCTTAGATAACGCTCGTGTAACCTCGTTCGCGCTCTTGCTTTTAAGCGGTATAGCCCAAGCGTATTTGCTTAATGCGTCGATAACGGTGAGTATGTAGTTGTGGCCTTTGTTAAGTCTCGCGTAAGGACGCATCTCGACCACATCCGCCTGCCATAGGTCGTCGTACCCGCGTATCGCGACGCGACGACGCGGAAAGTTTCTTCTCGCGGGCGCGTGCAATTCCTCGACTAGTCTTCGTTTTTCGGCGCTCATAATTCTCTTCTCTTTCTCTCAAGGATGACGTTGGGCGGGATCTCTCTCTCGAGCGGCTCGCCGCTCCGAGTGTCGCCGCTGGTCTCGCGAATCTTCGCTAGTTTCGTCACTCTCCCCGATAGCTCGTCCGCGTCTCTCTTCAATCGCGATGTTGAATTTTCTAATTCTCGTATTTTCACCGCAGAATCAGCCGCAGAATTCGCGGCGACGCGCGATTTTTGGGTTAGTTCCTGTATTATTTTCCCCTGATTAAACAGTATTTTACGATCGTTCGCGCTTTTCGTCGAAGACCACTCGAGATTCTCAGGTTCGAACGTTTCCTCTTCAGTTTCGTCCCGCGCAAATGGATCTCTCTCGATAGGATACACGTTTGACGGAGTAGGAACGGCATCTAATCGTCGTCGCGCTCGTATTTGTTTCACTTTAGGTTTTTTCCAAGCGGGGGTCAACTCTTCCTCCTTCCATTTTTCCTCATTCCATTTTTCCTCGACGCTCGTCTTCTCGACGCTCGTCGTTACAGGCGAAGCGTCGATCGCGTCTCGCTTTATCATTTCGCGTTTAATCTCGTCTCGCTCGATCTCGTCTCGCTCGGCGCGCTCGGCGATGCGCCGCAGCGGGTCGACGATTGGCTTAAAACAGCTCTCCATCGCGATCTCGTTCTCCATTTTGCCAGTCTTTAACGCTCTGTGTTTTTTACGAATCGATGCGCGCGTCTTAGCGATCTCTTTCGCCGTCTTCTCTCGTTCACCGATATCCGTCGCAGCCATCGTGATTAATAAATCGGTCCTTCTCGCTCGCGGGAGGGAGAGCGATCGATGCGTTCGACGTATTCGCGACGACTGATCGCTCTATGGTACGGCGAAATCGTTAAACCCTCGCCTATATCTGCCGGCGCTAAGCGCGCTATCTTTATCAATC